CTGTCAGTTTTCGATTTCTCCCTTCCAAACACTTTGTTTGCACAGATTTTACTGGATAGGCTGGACAATAAGTTGTTTCTGTAACTGCTTCCGTCTTTTTGATGCCTTGTTTGAACACGGTGATAACCATCTTGGATTATCATTGTTTTGTGTTTATTTTTCGTAGCTTAGCGCCACATCGTATACATGTAGAAGACCTCCGTTATTCAAGGCTTAGGGTCTCTGGTTCAATTTCGCCAATTTTCAGCGATTCAATCGTTGCTATCACTTAATCCACTGTGAGATTGCTTTCTGTTCCAAAATGTACTTCGTTACTGTGGCTAACATCTGCATAGACTAGTTTTGAAAGATCTTTAAGGAACTTCCGCTATCTTGAAAGGATATCTTTCTCGTAGTTTGGAAGCTTTCCAGTCAGAACCTTTTTTGAACCTTTTTTCAGCGACGTCGATGTCTAACCTTTGCCTCTGTAGACAGCCGATACTCTAGTAGGAGGCTTTGGTTGCGGCATTTCTCTTCGAACGAATTTGAAGTCAGTGTTTTGACTGCATTCATAACATGTGCTGCATTTTTGAGCTTTGGTGCACAGAATACGCAAAGAATACGTGAATCGGTTTCCAAGCCGCCAAATAAACCTCAAGTTTCCGATCTCCATCAGCCAGTTTGTTCTTGCTTCTAGTTCAGGCACGAAGCCGCTTTTGCCCCTAACAAAACGATGCCGAAGCAGTTATGACTGTTTTAAGCTGCTCTCCTCAGTGTCTGTCATCGGTCGTGTAGACTGCTGTGGATTTCTGAACGCGTGCGTCGAAAACAACCAATTGGTAATCTGGCAAAACCCTGTTTTTTACTTGGACATCCATAGCTATCAAAAATCGCTGTCTAAAGTGTTTGTGTACCAGATATGCTTACGGCGTCACGCTGCTAGAAGGAGTTGCTTACCGCACAGTCCTTTGACTCATCAGAAGGCCATCGTAATGTGTCACCCTTCAGATTCTTATAGGATTTCGTCGTTTTTCCCAATCACGCTGTTCTGTCTCTGGTTGTCGGTGGAGCTATCCTAAGCGTGATCTTGAGACTCTTAAGTTAGCATACCGCATCATTGCTTGCGTTCGATCATTAGATAGACGGGTTCGTTCGAAACACATGCTACAGTCTTCCCTGGTTGAGCGGTTGCGGCAGCAAAACAAGTCTATCAGATCTTTTGCTGTCTGTTTAAGGCCACGCCTTAGGCGATCATAAATTGAGACGGCGAAACTGATAGAGCACGGTTTTTTGATAACTGAAGTATCTGCTTTCTGACTGGAAAGGAACCGAAGCGGCTGAAGAAACAGCGCTACCAACTGGATACAGCTGGAATCTCTCCTGTCGCTGTGGATTCATCGTCTGCTGATATTTTAATATTTCATTCTAATTTTTAATGAATAATGAAAATAGTCATTCAGAAATCAGTGTGACTAGCTACGGTGACTTTCGGATCAGGCTAGCGTTGTTTCGGTTGCTAATCAAATTCCAATTATATTTCTATTGAAAGTGAGGACGTGTTTTGTTCCGTTAAAGGAGAATTGTTCCTTTATCGGTGGAACTGGAAACTATCTCTAATTGCATATCTAGCATTAAGGAAACCTTTGGAAATTATTCTACAATGTTGAAGTTTCCACTAGCGGTTAAGTGGCCATAAAATGCCTGCTAGCTTATGTGTACTAGTGTTTATACCGCCGCACGGGATTAATCGTTATACTGGGTAGCTAACATTCAAACTCTTTCATAATCATCGCCCTTTTTCGATCCATTCCTGAATGAAGGCCTCTGCAACACTTCGACATAAGCATATGTTTCTGCCATTTCTGTCCATCTTGAACCTGCGAATTTCTTCAGCGCATTCTGCAATCGATCTGGAAGTCTTCGTACACACCGTTTAATCTTTCTTTCTTTCTCTTTTTCTTTCTTTCTCTGTCTCTCTTGCAGCATGTCCTGTCCTTTGCCACTTTAACTTCTTCGCTCGAACAATGACATCTCAGACTCTTGCTTGTGCTTTTACCCATTCGTTCGTCTTCCTGTCTGTCCTTGTTATCCCAGCATACATTTTTTCATGCCGCTTGGGTATTCTGCAGTTTATGAATTGGTTTCAGGCTTAGGGTTCATGTTTCGCACCAACAGGTTAGCACTGATAGCACACACTGATCGAAAACTTTCCGTTTCAGAGCTCCAGGGCAGTTTCCCGAATAAGAACATTTTCAGTCCTCTAAACGTGTTCCATGCTACTTTTACTCTTCTGATGATTTCGCAGAGTTGGTTACAGAGATAAAAGAGCTAAGCGTTGCAGAGATGAGATGAGAGAGCAGAAATGAGATACCGAGATGAGATGTCTCAGATTGACGTAGTTGCTCCTCTTCAAACCTCAGTCCATTAAATTCAACATGTTTGGGGATCACGTATTTGTTAAACGTAACCTAAGTCTACGACCTTCATTTTCAATCCTACGTTGATGTTGGTTTCGTTCGGATCTCCGATTATTCTTTGGAGTTTTTCTGGTGACTTTGAAAAGATCAGCATATGAGTAGCATTAATTTATGTTCAGCCTCTGATTTTCCGAACAACGTCTTTTTCCTAACAGAACCTTTTCTAAGGCTGCTGTGAATAATTTCGGTGATACTGCGGACGCCCTTTTCGATTTTGAACTTGCTTGTGATTTCGTGAAGCTTCACACTAACAGTTGTATTATTGTAAATCATGGCGATGGCTTTTCTAAATCTCTGCTCGATTCTGCGTCTTTTCATGGAATCCAGTACAGAATGAATGTGGAGTCATTCTTCTGGAAATCGATGAACCCCAGGCAGAGAGAAGCTGATGTTCGTTGCTTGTCTGAATTACATGTTGTACCATCCGCAGATGATCCATCGTATTAAATCTACTTCTCAATCCTGCTTACTCCCGTGGCTGTACAATTCGTCTTAAAATTCCGCTCATCAGTACCTTCATGAAGATCTTGTAGGTAGCTGACAACAAACTGATCAACCTGTAGTTTCTCTAATCCTCTCTGCCATCCTTTTCGTGGAGTATATTCGATGCTGTAGTCCAACTGTCTGGAATTTTCTGTTCCTTCAGGCGGCGTGAAAACTAGCGCGCTACTGTACTGGTCAGTGCTACATCGCCTGATTCCATGAATTCCTCTGTAACGCTGTCTTTTCAGCAGCCTTTCCTCATTTGGTCTGCATTATTGCATTGCATTCTAGCCCTATTTATGACTAAAAAATTAATATGCGCTGTTCTGCTTCTCTGAAACCGATCATAACCATTTCCTGAACAAATATCCACGAACAGTCATACGGCTTAAATTTGCAGTTTTCCTCAGGCCTCTTCGCGACGTTCCCAGTATATGACCCCGTTCAATTCGGAAAACACTGGTCTAGCTATTCACCTTCGTGTCAAAATTTTAACTTATATTTTAAAGAAAGCTGAAACGTATGAATGAAACACGTCACCACCCGCTTCTTTCCCCAGGGCGCAAAGGTTTGGAGCGGATGTTAAATTGAGGGAAACAGCGCAAACCTTCCTACAGCTTGAGTACCTGTAGAGTTTCAGCGCGTCAGTTGATGATCACATTGATGATAAATTAAGAAGAATGTTTTGACATGCAGGATGTCAATTGTCTTTTTCAAGGCAACGCGAACTCTCATCTTTGGACAGAAAGCCTTTCTGCTTGCTACATGTTCTTAAAAATGCATGCCCTGGATTCAGTGGTTACGCTTTGTGCTGAATATCAGAGTGTATAGGCAGCTACCAGGTGGGTTAAGACGAATTGCGGTCATACGAGATGTTCAACATCACCGTACCCATCGATAAATTTAGTATGACCACTCCTAAATACTATGCTGATCCTGTTATTTGCTAGTCAGTGACTTTCTACCCGTTTCTCGGCTGGTTGCATTCTGTGGAATAAATTACTTAGACAAGTGACAAAAGGCGTAAAGTTGATATCTTTCAGCGTTGGCACTGGTCTCCACTAAGGTTTCGTCCTGTCCCTTATCCTGTTTACGCTGTACATGGATGGAATAATAAGGAGCTTCCAAGGCGATGAGTGTATCGGTGTAGAAGATGTAAAGACGAGAAGGTTGCTATTTGCAAACGACCGTATTTTGTTGGCATCCTTTTTAACTCATATACTGTGCTCTGAAAAGATTCGCAGGTAAGTAAGACATGGCTGGTGTGCCAGTGAACGCATCTAAAACGAAAAGTCTAGTGTTTTCTCGTTCTCCTGCCCATTGCTCTCTTCAGACTAACGGAGAGGCAGTGGAGCAGGTGGAAATGTTCAAGTACCTCGAAATCGTATTTAATAGTGATGGAAAATTTGAGGAAGCGATCGACCGGCGAATTGGAGTAGCCAGTGGCGTTCAGGGTGAACTAGCACGATCCGGTGTGAAGAAAGCAGAGCTCAGTCTGAAAACTAAGCTCTCAATATAAAGTCGATCTTTATCCCCATACTTACCTACGGTCATGAATCGTGGACCATCACTGAAAAACTTCGAACCTGGGTACAAGCTGCTGAAATGGGCTTTCTTAGACGATTCGCTGGCCTTACGCGACTCGACTTGGTGTGGAGTACAGAAATCTGCAAGTGCCTTTGTGCAGCCACTGCTTCTTCTGATTAAGAAGTCACAGCTGGGATGGTTTGGGCACGTATTGCGAATGCCTCCAGAAAGGAAGGCGAAGCAACTACTACTTGCCCAGCCGACCGCCGAAGACCCAGGGGCGACCGATGTTTACCTGTAGCAAGTGTATGGAAGTAGTTTGCTTTTAACTCCGGCTGTCTTCTGCCGAAGCTCAGCCACAGGCGCAGGATTGGGAGCATTGATAGCATTGTTTGACGCGCCTGCCTCCGCAGCCCGAAGGGAAAAGTAGTAATGGAAGGTGAAATCAAGTGAAAGGAAATAGCATTAGTTTAAATGATCTTCCGAGATTCGAACCCGGCATCTCTGTACTTCTTGTAGTCATGCTTAACTCGTTCATACGCAGATGAATGAACTTTTTATCCCACTGCTTGCGACCGCAACTTATGACTTTACATTGGCGAGCTGGCATGCCCTAGGGTACCTGGAGCCGAGTCAATCTATGTTAAATGGAACTTTAAGGTCAAAACTGATGCCTCAGTTACTTGGTTATCTTAATTGACGTAGGTATGGAATCAATCGACCAACATATAACTCGCATACATGGAAGGAAACGTTCGTACGGTCGAAACGATCGTGGACCTCGTCGATGCACTTTTTTTGACCGATCGCTAGTATTAATTTCACTGAAAGCCTGTGATTTACTTTAATATCATGAATGTTTATTTGAATTCGAACGATTCAAGGAAAAGGAAGAACGGTGGCAGGTAAAGTTGCAGGAATGGTCATCGAGGTTGCAGGTGCTGATGGACAATGAGCAGAAGCTATTCTCGGAAATTCGCTACTTGCAGCGCGAACGTAATGACCTCAAGGACAAGGTTAATGCACTTGCAGCGGACAAGCAGGGCCTTCAGAAAAAGGTTTCGTGAGCACGAATGGTAGTTTCAAGTTTTGACCGTTAATTATAGTGCCGCGAATTGGAAAAAGAGTTGTTTGAACTGAGGGAACAGTTGGACAGCAAAACCAAGCAATGGAGCATTTGTCATCGCTGCTCGAACATATTTATGCCGAATGTTCCACCCGAGGTAGGATTCGACGGTTCGGCTTAAAATCGTCGGTTGAGGAGGCAGTATCGTGCGAAATTCAGGCGAAATTTTATAGTGCGAAAAAAAGTATGCTTTCTCACCGAACGGCCTTCGAAATGAGCTAGAAGCGCTTCGAATGGAGGTGAGTCAGTTGCGGCAGTCGCTGCATCTACAGACCAATTAAACGTTGGACTCTGCTGAACGTCTGCTAGTTAATTTGTCCGTCTGTGACGCTCGCTCAACTTCTGTAAAGAGACTGTTGACATTGGAGAACGGCCGAAGGGGATTCCGTTACAGCGCGGCGACAACGATAGCGATATTTGGTTCGGCATCAGTCCGGTGTGTAACCCGTTTCAAGCTGCGGATCTACTC